TTTTTTATAGATTAAATGACAAACGTTCACACAGTCCACTTCATTATAAGCGGATGATGTGGCACATAGACATCTAAACTATCTTCGATTTACATTAAAATCAAAATACATTGAATAAAACTATTATTTACGGATTTTATCGCGTTTAATTAAACTTTAATTTATTTTTATTATCCCGACGTTTCGGGTGCTTTACAGCACCCGTTGTCATCGGGTTGAAATCGTGGAAAAATTAAAGTTGAATTAAACGCGATAAAATCCGTAAATAATAGTTTTATTCAATGTGTAGTGTTCGCGTAAATTTAAGAAATCATAATCAAAATACAGTTGCCTTGTTACCTTAGCACTAATTTGGAATGCCTCGTTACCAGTAAAAAAGGTATCCGGTTCTCTACAATCATCATAGAAGAAACAGCATAATTAAGCTGTAATTTTTATAAACATGAAAATGGATTTTCAAAAACAACGCTTACGAGGTGAATTGCTTACAGTACTAGAACATTTTGCTGATGGTGTTTACCATCATCGGTATATGTATTTAGCTCTTGTATTCAGTTCTTTAATTCAATTAACTGCCTCTTGGTCGAGGCGCGACTGCCAGTTATGAGGTCCTGGATTGAAATCCAAGGTCTGGCCAAAATCAGTTACTGGGAAATTGGCGGAGTTTCACACCCGTGCCTCAGAAACACCAAAACTCTTTGGACCTGCTCCTGATTTCTTTCCGGTCGTATCGCATTGACGTCCTGTTGGACTATGAGAGTGAAGATATAGAGAGTACACCTATGCTTGTGAACACACATGGGCACAATAATCCTGTCCTTCTAATGACCATACGTGTTTGTTTTCAGATAATAGACTAATACGCCATATTAGGCGTGGAGTGGCAGCGTAAGAAAATTTATCGACTAATTTTCGTAAGAAGTGCTATCGAAATTACCAGAATGGTCTCATATCGGCTTTTGATAGTAAAGCTACAGCAGGGTTCTCTACTGCAGGGTATATTCTCATTTGGGGTCTCCTGTCATTTCTGAGATATGAGGCTTTGTTACACAGAAGTTAACCAATCAGATTCAGCACGGCAGGCCACTGATTATATTGCTGCTAGTTAAGATTATTTTATAGTATATGGTGACAAACGAGCACACAGTCTGTGGCCAATAGACATCTACATCTATCCTCGATGCGTTGTCACCCGTGAGGACTAAGATGGAATGCCTCGTTTCCAGTACAATGAATCCCCGGTTCTATGCACTAACCATACGAAACACAGCAGTGTTGAGCTGTTATTTTACGCTGGTATTCTGTGAGAGCGTGGTCCTTCCCCGGTCGAGCCGACCCATTCGTGCTACAACTATACTACTAACATAGGTGCAGCATTGCTCTATCACGTAAAAAGTAAAAAAAATAGTTACGGTTTAAAAATAAATATTTATGGTTGGTGAAGGATAATGATTCAAATGGCATAAATAATACGATGCCCACAATGAGCTCAACGTATTTGTATTGTCACTGTATTTAATACATCGTAATGTTTTTTGCATTAAACTGCATCCTGTGTGCATAAAGGAAGTTTAAAGATAGAATAAATGTTTTGGGTCGGTGACGAATAACGCTTTATACAGAATAATAAAACCAAAATATACTCAACACGATTTATTATATACTTATCTCGCAGTTAACTGTATCCTGCATAGTTAAAGGTCAAGCTCACAAGCACTAGGTGCACCCTATTGACCGACAAACGAAACTAAATGATGACATACAATTGAAAATCTTACCGTGAGTTTGCACTGACGCGATTTTCACAAAAAAACATGTTTTAAACACTGTTTTCTGTCAATGTATCAAAAACCGTTTGCATAGTCAAAGAACATGTGCAGAAAAATATGTTTGACAGTTTATTGTACATTACATATTTTAACTATATCTTTATAACTACAGAAACAAAATATTTGAAAACAAATTTGTAGAAATATTGTCATGTTGAAAAATAAGTTTGAATATCTGTTTAAAATTTTACACAGTTTTTGTGAGTGTGAACGTCATCATCAACAAAACATGTTGTGTGATTTATTTTATGCGATTTGTTTCAAAAAATTACGTGTTGGATGTTTCTCAGTGCAAACGTACTGTTAGATGGCTGAAAAACATTCAAAATGCGAACTCTAATTTCAGAAGCTCGTGTTGGGAAGTTTCGAGATCACCGACCCACTAGAGGAGCGTGATAATTATGGAAAAATCTTCTAAGAAATAAATAGTAGCTTTTAGGTCTTTGTCCCCCTATGAATTAAATTAAAAATAATGTTGTTGTTGCGATGTAGGAAGATTTAAATGTGATATTTTACTTCCACAACACATTACAACTAAATTTTAACAAAGAAAGTTCTTTCTCAAATGAGTGGACGAAGGTGAACCAATAATAATTGCATTTTGTAATTGTAATTGATTGATTGATTGAATTATATCTACCCAGATGAACATAACACAACACAGGCAAAAAAATAAACTTAAGGAAACGAATTATACGTGTAATGTTGAAAAATAATTATGTCTTCTGATTAGATCGGCGTATAGTAGTAACAAAATAAAAATGCGATAATTAAATCAAAAATAAGACAATTTCAAAAAAAATTCAAAGGAGTTAAATTTGTTTAAATAACAATAAACTACCGACAGAAACTTCTAACAACTAACTTGTGTACAAAAGTTCAATCTTAACTCTCTCAAAATAAATAAATTTATCTTAATGGAGAAATAAAAAGCCAAACCTTTTTACAAAAATTGACTAAATATTTTCGTCAGTTACAAGAATCAACAAATTAAGTTTGTCCGTTAAACGTATCTTCAGCTCTCGGTAGAGGGTAAAAGTATTCTGTGATTTTCTGTATAGATTAAGATAATAATATTATGTAATATTTGACATAATACGTAGCGTAGCTTTGAAATCTAGAGGATTTATTTTATAGTTGAAATTTCGGAATTCTATAGATTTGTAAATTTTTCATTTTATTTTACTTCTAATACATTCCACTGGGATTGTATGGGCTTGTATTTTTTTTTCGTCTACAATAATATTATATTAGTTACATCCTTCTCCCTTTTGTAACTTTTACAAAGCTGATAAGTCCACGATTGTTTGACGCAGAGCTTGTTTCCAAAGAATTTTGTTAGCACATTTAGATTTTTTTTTATTTGAACGAATGTGACAAAGAAACGCATATCAATCAACTCAGTTATTGATAATCGATTTCTAGATGCAACTAGAACAACTAGCATGTCACTATAACCTGAGAATTTTATGACGTATAAACCATTTTAAAAATTAAAAAAAGTAATTATAAAGAATTATTTAAAATTTTAGAGTTCCTTCGTAGAGTTTTAAAAACATTTTAAGATATATTTCTAAAACTCTACGAAGGTTATAAGCAACATTTGGTTAAATACTTTCCAACTTATATACTCATCAGTCAGTTGAAGTCAGGGTCGATTCTCTTCCGAGAAACAATCATTATATTGGGTTCAATAACCTGAATTACTGAGACGTCGAATTGCAGTTATTAAAGATAACAAGATCCATTAGTCGGTGTTCGAAGCCAATTTAGGAATGAAAGTTAATAAAAAGTTTGTAGGTACTTTTTAGTCTTCTCATTATTAATTATAATAATTATAATATTAATAATTGTTTATAAATTACAGCCTATATACGTCCCACAGCTGGGCACAGGCCTCCCCTCATATCTGAGAGGGTTTTAGGGCAAGGAAGTGTCCGCCACACTGCCCCAAATGCGTGTTGGCGAACTTCACATGTCTTCGATACAATTTCTTTTTCTTATTCCTCAGACATGCAGGTTTCCTGAGAGCCGTGGTAGCTCAGATGGTTAACGCTCGCTGTAAATATAACAGAACGCGAGTAACCCGGGTTCGATCTCCGGCGGCACCAATGAAATTGTTGATTGCCATTTTAAGTGCTGATTTACCACGTGCTTGGCGGTGAAGAAAAACATCGTGAGGAAACCTGCAAATTGTTTATATAAACAATTAAATTTATACCGGAACAAGAAGAGTCATTACAGCCCTTATCAAGTCTGCAGTACATAGTTCTTGAATCATTGATATATATATATATATATATATATATATATATATATATATATAAAGGGGTAATATATCAATGTAATGAATCACATGCATCTAACAACTTCTTGTAGGTATATGTTACTGGATCTAGTGGCGTCTGCCACACTTTAGCATACAGGTACCTACGAGGATACCACTCGAGAATCTTTCTTTCCCATGGGTTTTAGTTCTTCGAGCTAGGTATTCAAGCGAGCTATTGCTTGATGATTCGTTAAGGTATATTGATTACTCTGTTTTTATTGCAGTGCAGATATTTATAGATACTAATTGTACTCTTATTTAAAGTTTTGAGGAATACGTGACAAAAAGATAATGTGTCTCTCGGTCGAAGTTATCGTTATTGTAAACGTCATTATATTTATACCAAATTATTAATAATCTAAGAGAGTGAACGCTATATATTTATAAACTGACCTAGTTAAGATAAATGCTAATTTTGTTATGTAATTATTACTTTATTTATAATTTCGATCGATCTTAAACTAATATTTCAATTCTAAAAAGAAACGCAACTGAATGACAGTAGAGGAAATAATTGCGATCGTTAAGCAAACAGAATAATTAAGTAAAAGCTAACACAAAGCAGACGATTATCGATCCTGTGATAAAATAATTTGCACAGCCAGTGGCATATCCGTGGGACTGGGGAGCAGTTTAGTTTAACAAACTAACCGCGTCGGCGTCTGTAGTCTGTACATACACAAGCATACGAGGTACGAGCAAACCAATTAGGTGTCAACGACGCGCAACTTGCAACAGATTCTTTTCTGACAATGTATTATCTAAATAAATTACAGTCTGAATCCATAAGCACACACCGACATACTTTTAAACATAATATGGTACAAAATGCATATACTTACAGCAATGAGACGATAATTTATCCACCATGCTCTATTTCACTATATCACCAATATCCATCGGAATGTTCAACATATAACCTCAAACCAGACACGTGTAAAACTGTTTTTTAAATTTGGTATAAATAATCGTAACGTACCGTAGGATTACTAAATACAACAGAATTTTTATTTTTAATATTTAAGTCTTTCTACCGGCCGGTGGCGTGCGAACGTGTACGGCGTACGCTCTCAACAAAACCCGTATCCCTTCCCTTATAGCTATAGTTTCACTGGCGTTAGTGAAGCCAGACAGCAGCATAGTCATTCGAACGTTACGGTACGTCATTTTTATCGCGCCACGCGCTTACGCCGATTTCGCACTAAAATTGAGGTTACGGATACTTAACTATGCATTGCTGCTTTTAAGGGTATGCACAATACTTATTATTTTATAAATATATCAATGGATTTCAAACATGCACGCGTTGTCTTATTAAGAGTTTCTTAGTATGTTGCTGTATGAATGCACTCATAATATGTCACTTTAAGAATGCATTAGAAAATTAACTGAGATTAATAAAACAGCGCACTGTTTTATACAATTTATTAATAAATAGGCCATTGAATGTATAAATATGAACGAGTCGCATATTATAAAATGATTTAATTAATAATTTTATACACATTTACTGGCCATATTTGGTATCTATTGCCCATGCCTTTTAGCATATGAGATGCTTCACAGATGAATATTTTAAGTATTAAATGCCACATTTACTTTAAATATACACTCATGGACAAATTTATAGAAACGCCAAAAAAGGGTTTAATTTCCCCTTTGAGTATTCAACCAACTTTGGTAAGAATTTCCCCTATTGTAGTTAACGTGTGTACTGGCCACAAAAGTTAGTAGGCTGTAAATGCTATATTTGGAATGTTTAGGTATTTTTTGGAATTTCATTTGTTAGTATGTAATTATTGCGTTCTTTCTTTACTGCGAAAATATTGCCGTTTTTGAGTTTAAATTTAGTTTTTTTTTTCAAATGTTTGCTTTGACTGTCTTGTTTATCGCGTTAAGTGTGAATTGTTAATGCAAATAAATTGATAGTCTAAACGTCGCTTAAGTTGCTGGGGCTATTACTTTAATTAAAAATGTGCAAACCTTCAAACACGTGGCCAAAACATTACGAGTAAAATCTTTGGTAGACCGAGTTGTCAAGATGTATTGGCCTTGGCAGACCGGACAGTGCACGAGACTCGCAGCACAGAGACGGTGGCCAGAGATAACCCGTTCATCGTTACAAGCGTTCCTAGACATTAACTTCTTTTTAACTTCCCAGTGGGAAGTTATTGTAAGGGGCTGTCCATTAATGACGTGATGATTTTTTTTTTACATTTTAACCAACAATAAACCACCATTGCTCTGCATCTTGGTGACACGTGATGAATTATTAAGACTAACCCCTACCTAACCCAAAATCACGTGTATTATTAGCACCATACAGAAGAATCTTAAAATGAAAATTTGGAATAAAGATATATATTTAAATACATGTATAAAAATTATATAAATTACAGTACTCCGGCGGAAATCCATAACAAAGCAAAAATCGATAGTGTTTTGTCTGAATATATAAATTAAGGACACATGACAAAATGACCGCTAGACCTAGAAACGCGTTTCACGCAACCATTGTTTGAAGGTTGACTCGGAGGCGTAAAAATAACTGTGGTATTAAACGGAACTGGTGTAAATGATCCGAAACATAATACAAAGTTACACAAACATGTGTACCTATATTATATTGTACTAGATGAACATATTTATTGTACATTGTCCTTGAACCACGAATTAGCGAGACTTTTTTCAACACTAGCAACTGGATAAGCATCTTGCAAGTCAGTTGTGGGCACTGTGCTTTATTGAAGATCAGCGTCATCATTTTCGCGCACTACGCAGAGAATCTCTCTCGATCTACCGATCGATCGCGTGAAGAACAAACATTGTGCATCTCTAGATTAATATTTGCTCGGATAATCTAGGTTCATGCTTGTGACATGAATTTACATGTACAGACAAGCCAATGTCATACTACACACCGCCTTTCGGTTTATAAATCGCGCGTTTGACGAAAAAATAAATACACGTTGATAACCTTACTACACCCCCTCCCCTTCTGGTATTCCTTGATTTTTACAATACCCCCCCCCCCCCCCCTCTTTTGAGCTTCACGTGATTAATCGACAGTCCCTAATGGGTCCGATTTTGCAAATTGGAAATTTTAACATATATCTCCACGTTTCAAGATCTTCAGACCTTCAGAGTCGAACAGTATGGTTTTTAAGAGGATGTCCGTGCAATATACGTATGTAATAATATTCAATTTTTGTCTCGTGTATCTCGAGAACAGAGTGATATTGGCATGGGACCAGTTTCATTTAACGCATAATTATGTAACTTAGACCTCATTAATCTTTGAGCAAATTCAATCAAGTCCTTTTTTGCCGAATGAAAAAAATTGTATAAAATATTAAAACATATGATATTTTTTTATTCTTTCCACCGGGAAGTCGTGGGGACCCTTCGGGTCGCACCTAGACCGTTATTTTTTTTAAATGAAGCGCCTAAAAGTTCAAAGGGTTAATTAGTTAAAGTTACCTAGTACAAAAACTGTGAGAAAAGGACTGATGTCGGCCGGAATAAATTCACATATGCCTCCGGCACAGAGTCACAGGGGCCCCCTTCTTGCCACATGCCATCTATATCGAGTAGCTCGAGTTAATTTTGCTGGGCGATCAAGAAAATTGGAATGACGAAGCTTGGAGTTAGTTCTATTGAAACTTGAAATTTTAAATACTTTATAGCTTAGAACTGGATGACAATCAAACCAACTTTCATGTCTCTTTGTTTGCTTGTTAAATTGTGCGGTATAAATCTTCATTTATACCGCACAATTAAACAAGCATTTTTCATACATATCCGTGTAGTGGCATTATTCATACATATCCGTGTGGTGGCGGTTAAGAATATCCACTACCCCATATCTTCCCGTGGGTGTCGTAAAAGGCGACAGAGGGACACAGAAAGAAGATGGGCAGCAGCATCTTCCTGATAATAGCAACTGTACGACAAAAAAAAAACTGCGGTTGCCAACCCGCTCGCCAAGCGTGGCAACTATGGCAATATACCCCCCATGAACAATTACACAAATAGACGGCCCCCAGTCCCCGGCGGCTCCGCTATTCCTGGCTACGGTGGCGACCAGGGGGTGCTAAGAATCTCCGGTGGAGGTTCGGTTGCCACCTACGACGACTCGACCTGGCAACATTTAACGCACGCACACTGAGGACTGACGAGAAGATCCTGGAGCTGGAAGAAGAGATAGACAAGTTGCGCTGGAGTATTATAGGATTATCCGAGGTCCGAAGAGAGGGGGAGGACACAGTGATTCTCGAATCCGGCAACTTGTTCTATCACCGGGAGGGCGACCATCTGTCCCAAGTAGGTGTCGGATTTATCGTCCACAAGTCTCTCGTCAACAACGTTGTAAAGATTGGGAGTGTGTCGACGAGGGTCGCGTACCTGATACTCAGAATCACCAAACGGTATTCGCTGAAGGTCATACAGGTTTACGCACCAACCTCGGCACATTCCGATGAGGAGGTGGAGGAAATGTATGAGGATATTTCCAAAGCCATGCATTCCTCCAAAACCCACTACACGGTGTTGATGGGAGACTTCAACGCAAAACTAGGCACAAAAGAAAACGGTGAGCTGAAGTTAGGGAAATTTGGAGCAGGGCAACGGAACCGAAGGGGCCAGCAGCTGGCCGACTTTATGGAGAAAGAAGGACTCTTTATGATGAACTCTTTCTTCCAGAAGCGGCCCCACAGGAAGTGGACCTGGTCGAGCCCCGACGGTTCGACAAAAAATGAGATTGACTTCATTATGACGACCAGACGCCAACTGTTCAGTGATGTCTCAGTGATCGCAAGGGTGAAAACTGGCAGCGATCACCGAATGGTTAGAGGCACACTGAACCTAAACGTTAAGTTGGAGAGGTCTCGTCTAATGAAGTCAACGCTCCGTCCCCCCCGTGCTCTAATTCAAAATCCCGAAAACTTTCAGCTCGAGTTACACAACCGCTTTCAGTGCCTACAAGATTGCAATGCAGTGGACGATGTGAATGACAAGCTCGTGGAAACTGTCCATGCGGTCGGAGCTAAGTTCTGCAAGACCCGCCGCAGAAGAACACAAAAACTCTCCGATCACACTCTTAATCTCATGGCTGTTAGACGGGAGATGAGGCTGCAATCGTCAACAGATTTGACAGCATACAGGCAACTGAACAGACAGATCTCCAAATGCATGCGGCGAGACTTACGTAACTTTAATATTGCTCGTATTAAAGAAGTGATCGAGCGGAACCAGGGCTCCAAAGTCTTTGCCAGAGATCTGTCTGCCCGTAAGAGCCAACTGTCAAGGCTGAAGACTGAGTGTGGCAGCATCGTTTCCGGGACACCTGAGATTTTGAGTGAGATTGAGAGGTTCTATGGGCAGCTGTACACATCATCGTTGGAGCCACACGCAAGTGTGAGTAACGATCCAAGAGCAAGTCTTATCCGACACTATTCCGATGATATCCCGGACGTCAGTCTAAGCGAGATTAGAATGGCTCTCCAGCACCTTAAAAACGGCAGGGCCCCAGGTGAGGATGGAATTACAGCGGAGCTTCTGAAAGCGGGTGGAACACCGGTACTTGAAGTCCTTCAGAAGTTCCTCAATTCCGTCCTCCAAGGTGGCACTACTCCAGAGGCGTGGAGCGGAAGTGCGGTGGTCTTGTTCTTTAAGAAAGGCGACAACGCTCTCTTGAAGAACTACAGACCGATTTCCCTTCTGAACCGCGTCTACGTGCTGTTTTCGAGAGTCATTACGAATCGTCTCGCACGCAGACTCGACGACTTCCAGCCTCCCGAACAAGCCGGTTTCCGAAAAGGCTTCAGTACCATAGACCACATACATACC